GTGCTCAGATCCTTCATCTCTCTCTCTCTCTCTCTCTCTCACACACACACACACACACACACACACACACACACACACAGAATTGTGCAAGAAAATTGATACATATATCAGTTTTCTTGTACAGTTGCTCCATGTTTCAAATGCATGTAAAGAGTTTGTAAAATGCAGGGGAAATAAGAGAAGTGACTGAAAAGCCATCAGAAGTATACTTTTGAATGCAAGGATACTAAAATCAGCTTCTAAAATGAATATTGTTCTTTTATTAGTACATCCCATGTGACAGCATATTAGAAAACAGTCATAAAATAACAAAACAGATTACACACAGATTTGCTCTATCTTGTTTGTTCATTGTGTGAAGACTTGCAAAGCATTAGAAGAATTTAGAAGTTTTAGTAAGCTTGAAACCAAACTGGAATTTCCTTTTGAACTCAGTGTTCTGATTCTTTGTAATACTATCAAGATGAAAATCATAACCACACAAAAGACTTAAAAGCTGAAGAGGAAAGAGGCTTAAAGTGGAACTGAAAAAACTGAAGAAATTCCACTTGCGACATGAACAATCATCAGGTCACAATGACAGTGTCATGCATTTCATAAACAGGTAACCATAAGAGAGTCTTCTGTCTATGTGGAAATCATTAGAGTGACTGAATATAGTGAATAAAAAGCAACAGAGATAATAATAAAAAACCTTTGTTAGTATCAAGGGCTAAACTAGAAAACAGTAGCACCTATGCACCTTCTAGTAATTCAAATGCCAGCTGCTCTTTGAGTACTAATAAATCAAATACACTGAAATATTATTTGCATGCATAATTACCAGACTGCCACATACAAGAAATAAGGTGCAGATTTCTAACATTGATGGTAATTAACCACTGGAGAAACTTATTTAATGATGTGGTAGATTCTCTATCACTTGCAATCTTTAAATCAAGACTAGATATCTTTCTAAAAGATATGCTATAGCTCAAACAGAAGTTCTGGGCTTGATGCAAATTATTATCTGAGATTCTTTGGTCTGTGTTATGCAGGCAGTCAGATAAGATGACCATAATGGTCCCTTTTGGCCTTGTGTTAAAATCTATGAATGTGCCTTTGTGCATGTGCATGTTTTTGCTGTTGGAGCTAAGAGGTAGTGTTGAAAAAGTGTTGATAGCAAGAAATAAATCAATTTGCATGTAATAGGAATAACACCTTTGCATTTTAATTCTAGTTAGCTTCCTCGTATGCTTCGTTAAAGAAATAACCAAAAATAACCAAAACAAACTTTCATTCTGATCTAGGTGCTGACGG